GGTCAGGGAGGGAGTGGGAGGGTGGGACTGTGTGGGGGCTGTGGAAGGATGTGGGTGTGTTTGGGGATATGGTGGTGGGGGTATGGTGGTTACTTTTATTCAAGTAACCCCCTATGATGCTTTGTTCTGGAGCTAGTATAAGTATCACTGCAACATGTCTAATAAACAGATTATGAAGAAAGTGGGCTGAGGAGCCATGTGTGAGGTTGAAGGGAGATGGGCTGTGCATGAGAAAGAGAGAAGTGGGCAGTGGAGCGGCACACAAAGGATAAAAGAACATTGTGGGATTGTGCATGGGGTTGGAGGGGATCTGGCCAGTTGGACTATGCAGGGCACTGTGAAATAACTGGGCTTTGGGACTGTAGCAAGAAACAAGAAACCTTTTTTTTGTCTGCCCTCCGCCTCCAATGTGAAGTCCCTCCATATGGCAAAAAGCCCCTTTTGCAGTATTTGCCCCCTTTTGGGGATGCTTTCCCTTTTCTACACTTTCTTCCTTCCACCCTCTTCTTTTATTATATTATTATTTCTATAGCATATAAGGTATACTTGTAATAAAAATATAGTTTGTAGATGCTTTTATGGGTATAAAATAGTATTCTGCATCAGTATGTCCCATCCCCCTCATTGTATTTGGTCTATTTGTTGTACGTGCCATGGCATTTGGTACAATGTTAGCAAGGGTGGGAATCAAACGGCAGTTTTTCTGTATGGAGCAAATCCCTGAATGAATCTTGATTGATTGCATAACACGATAGCTAGACAGGATAACAAGTTAACAAGCAGCAATTAACACCTACCAAAGCACAAACTAAGGAGAGAAAAGGATCAATACAGAGCCAGGAACTCCCTGAAACTTCAGTTAAAGGTATAGAAGCCCCCATCTGAACTAATCACAGCAGTGAATTAATCAAACTTCATCATTGGACTCCTGAGACTGCACATACCTGCGGACATGACCCCTGGGGCTGACAGCTGCCATCCAGCAACCACCAAGGAGGACGTCCCACTAGGTCAATGACCCCTGGATTGGGTAAGCCCGAAAATTGGGGAGTCAGCAAAGTCTGCCAGAGAGGGATAAAAGGCAGTGAAGAATAACCCCCAATGGCACACTCTTCGACCTGACCAGCACCTTGCCTGCCCAGCCAGAAGGACCAGCCGGCGACCCCCTTCTGAAGCAACATCGCACTGAAAGAAGCCTTGACTGGCCATCGCTGGCAGACTCCAGCGCTTGGGGATAGGTATACCTTGACACTGGTGCTTAGTGTTCATAGCTAGCTACTGAGAGTGTGTGCGCATGTGAATGTGCGTGTGTTTAAGGGGATCAGCCCCAAGGTTTATGATCTGATTTCTGCATCCATCTAATAAACCAGAATTTTATGATGATTCTGTGAGTTGGTCCTTTGTAGCCAACAAGATCACATGGGGTTGGAAGAGGTGGAGGGTGGGACTACACAGGAGGCAGCAAAGGAGGCTCGGGGTGTTTAGGAGTAAGTAGGCATAGAGTAAGGTGCTGGATGTGGATGCCAAGCACTAAAACAATGGGTGTCGGGATTCTGGGATAGTTGGACTATAGGCGACAGGGTGAAAATAGGGCTAAAAGGCAACTGGACTGAAAGGTGATGGGTAAGGCACCTGAAAGTTAATGCACATTAACTAGTTTAACACAAAACTCTTTGATATAAAATTTTCACTGAATAATTACAGAAACACCTCTGGAAGTAGGAACTGGAGCCCAGCTGATTGCCTACCGAGCAAGCTCCTGAATCATGTTTTGCCTTACGATTAGCCAGTGAATTTTGCAATGAATATATTTCCTTCTGCACAGCTTCAACATGAGAAGTGGAGTGCTCCCCCAAACTCAAGTCTGTGGAGCACTTCTTTAGGAGCGGGAAGTGTGAGCTTGAGCCCCTTCATGCCAAGGAGGCAACTGAACCTGGATCTTATGGTTTCTGAGCAAGTGGCTACAATTATGCAGGAAGAGGACCCCTGTGGTTTTCAGAAGAAGCAGTAGCTGTCACTGCATGTTGCAGGGAGCACAATTCTGTCTGTGGGTGCTGGGTGGGCCCTGAGAATGCCTTTTTGATCTAGTCTTTAGAGAAGGGGTGGGGAATTATTTGGGCCGGGGGCCACTTATGGAGCTTTGGTGAGCTGTTGTGGGCTGGGTCACCACCCCTCCTCCCCCTGCCCCAGCAACAGCTCACCAAAACTCCCTAAGTGGTAGACTAGTCTGGGGGCACTGGACTGAGCAGACAGGTGGGAGGGCTTTCCATGGAGACCCACCCAGGACCTCCGCAGGCCAGGTGCACTCAGCGAGGCAGTTGGAATAGTGCAAGTGGGTGAGAAGTGGCATCCGGGAGCGGGATAAGCAGGCAGGGCCAGGGCCTCAGGGCAGTGACAGCATGGAGCCAGGGCCCAGGGCAGAGCCATGATCTGTTCCCAGCATGGGCCTGTGTTGTCACTACCCTGCAATCCCAGCCTTGGCCGTGGCCCTGCTCCCAGATGCCACTCCTTGCCTGCCCACAACTCCATTGCATCCACTCAGCCAAGCACATCCTGCCCACAGGGGTCTTGGGCTGGTCTCCCTGGAGGCCCCACCCACACACCCACTTGCTCCATCTGGCACCTGTGGCAGTGGGTGCGGGGCAGACAGGCCAGGGTACCTGGCAGTGGGCCTGGGGCTAGCAGTGGCAGTGGCAGCATTGACACTGGCAGTAGCAGCTAGAAGGAGCCACCACTGTTGGAAAGCTGAGTCTGGCTGCCATACTGCCCTACCTGTTGTGCACCTGGGGCAGCAAGACCAGCCACATGTATCACAGCCCAGGCTGACCTCCTACACCTGGGCTGGGTGGGGCCAAGGGACCCACCACAGGCTGTATTAAATCCCTTGGTAGGCTGGATCCAGTCCACAGGCTGTATTTTCCCACCCCTGCTTTAGAGGCTTGGGTAGAGTTGCATCTACTTTCTGAATCCCATTTGGGCTTACATACAGAGATGTTCAGCTGTCAGGACTGCAGCAATTCTGGGCACATGCAGAACCACAGTTTTAAGAATGCCTTTTAGATCTAGTCAACTCAGCCTAGGCAGAATTGCATCTACTTTCTGAATCCCATTTGGGCTTATGTAGATATGTTCAGCTGTCAGGAACCACAGCTCTAAGCACCTCTGGAGTTTAGATGCCACCTAGATTAGACAGTAGCTGAGCCAAGATTCTGAAGATCACAATTTGGATTTAGGCACAATTTAGACACCTAAGCCTCCTTTTTTGGTGTTTCACAGATTCTGTTTGCCTCATATGATACTCCTTGGATCTGATTCTCAGATTAGCTATGCAGTGGGAGCTCCTCTTGAGTCAGTTTGAAAACGAGAACCCAACTGTTTCACACTGTGAATCCAAAAAAATGGAAGTAATCAAAATCAATGTCCACTTTTGAAAACACTTATCTTTGTTTTTTGTCCTAAGAAAGGACAGCAAAACCATCTCAACTGATTTAAGAATGAGCATGTATCCAAGAGTTGCACAGCTGAAGACGCCTAGAAAAATCTCTAGTATTTTTTTCTTAAGGTAGACAATAGAAGACAGGACAACTTCAGTTCATCTGGTTAAATATCTCAATCCTGATCTCACTCACCAAACATATTTATGATATGCTAGAGTCCAAAAATCAGAGATAGCCTACTCCCAAAACATTTTTTGGATGAGACTTTTACATTTTTTCCTTGAGAAAGCAAGAAGGGGGAACCTGTCAACATATCAGGCAAATGGCTAACAGATCCCAACCCTGTGCTGATCCACCTGTCCCAGACCCAGTCTAAGAGGGAAAGGAGCTGTGAAGGAATATAAATGTGAACACTAGCTATAAACTCAGTCTAAAAGTGGAAGGCCATATGTGCAACACCATAATTACTCCTCTATTCAGCAAATGACAGATACAATCTGGCTATTCACTATTACATTGGATGCTGAAGCCTGATGCTGATTTCACAGTGCTTCTGAACATGAAAAGATCATTTTAGTGGAGTTGTCCTTGTTTTTCAGAACGGAATTATTTGAAATGTAATGTAAAGATAATTTTAGTGATACTATAGTCTAAGTTTGTTTGGTATAAGATACACTGTAGTCGAGTTCATTTAAACACTGAGCATTACACGTTGCATATGCACATTTGATGCTTTATTTCAAAAAAAAATATATTCTTAAAAATAAGGCATTTCAAACATATGTTAACAAACATATAACAGGGCCAATTCCAATTTTATATCAATGCTGCAAAGGTATGTCAGTTTAATGGGAAAGAAAAGAACAACACATTGGCAACTACAGTAATTGAAATGAAAATAAATCTATCAATAAAGTTTACCACCAGCACAAATCAGTGACAATTTGAAGTTCGCTAATGTAAAAAGCATTAAAAAAATTAGTCCAGACACAAATCCAGTTGCCCCAGCCAGTCACAACTGACTACATATTCCTCAACAAAAGAAAATGTGTCAGTAACAGTTGGTCTGCTACTTATAAAACCAGAACATTCCCCTGAGAATGCTGGTTCAACTCTGTTTCAGGGAGGCAGTGATTGAAAGTGCCAACATCTGAAAGCTGTTTTAGGGGTGTGTCTATGTAAAATTAGTTTGGTAATTATGACCCAGACAAAAACCTCTATCATACCAGACGGAGAATGAGCAAATGGTTGACACTTCCTTACAGTGCTGCCAGAAATAAAAAGCCCAGTATAGGATGGTTCACTTGGGTATTTAAGTTTGTGTGTGAATTTATATCAGATCACATTATTGAAACATATTGCATTACAGTTCTTAAAGTTGCAGCTTATAAATTAATTATTAATTTAGCCAGCCATCTACACCAACTGGAGCAGTTTTGAGGCCATATTGCACATATTTATTGCAGTTTTGAGACTGTACTACACATATTTAATGATTCACTTCTACAATAAAGCAGCATAGGCCTGGATGATGTTCATGAACAGAAAATTCTGGGGCTTAATTAAGTAACATAGAAACCCCCAAGTTTCCAACTCATCATTCTATCAAGCTTGATGGTGATAATTTGGAATGTCATCCTCCAAATCCGTGGATGCCCTGAATATCAAGATCATTGTGCAGATTTCAAAATATCTCGAGGGCTGGAGTAGTGAGCTATGGCCTCTACAGCTATTTTCAAAGCGTCTGAAAGCACAATGAATGTAGTTGTCAGAGGGTCTGAATGAATACTGGGAAAGGATGCTTTTCAGAGACATTGCCCTTTCTTTCTACAGATCTAAACCTGCTGAATTCAAAGAGCAACCAGACAAGAAGGCACTGTAGTTGGGTCACTTGCCTTTAGGGAACTGTGAGCAGGTGGTGCTTAAGGGGAGCAATTTAGCAGAGGTAGGGAGCTTTAAATGCACACTTTTGTTCAAGTGCACAGACAAATCAGCAGAATCGACTTCTCAGGCATCACAGTAAGGATCCATCTGTTCAGCTGGATAAGTGGACAGGGCACACATTCACTGCAATATCATCTCATTCAAACCATGTATGAATGGTACAATTACAATTTAATGTGTGTGTGTTTAAACAAGCCTTCAAGGAATGCAGGATCAAAACTCCCTCTCAAGCTAAAAAGGAGTTCTGTGCATCCAAGGAAGCTGCTGAGAACAGCAAACTTGTACTATGTAGTTAACAGATATGGTTGTTACTAGTTACTAACACTGTTTACCTCGCCTACAGTCAGGCAGACATTCCTCTCTCTCTCCCTCATGGCTGGTAAATGAGTTCTGACAACAGGGACAAATTGCTTACTTGATGCATTTTACTCTGTTAAAGACAAAAAATGAGATTTAGAAAACTCTATTGTTTTGGTCATTTATGGGAGCATTAAATCAAGGCTTCCTTAAAAGAAAGAAAAGCAGTATTTCTAAGATGGGCTGATTCAATGTATAATCACAAATTGCACTGATCTCTTCATCCAAACATACTTCTACATTAATTAGTATGAGAAAATAGTTAACTAAGTGCATCTAAAATGCAAATTCAGTGTTGGCTCTGGAGCTGCTGGTAAGTAGCCAATATAGTTTTTTGTTGGCCAGATTTGGGGATATTAAATGGGAATATACATGTGAACAATAGCTATAAATTCAAGAGCGGGAATAATTTTCATTGATGTGATCCAATATTTAAGATAAACATAAATCTTGGTAATGAATGTATTAGCAGTTTAGGTTTTGAATGTTGACAGCAGACAGCACGTGGACAGGCTTCACTATATTGTTGTATTCTCCATAGGGTGGTGAGCTTTAATTTCCATTGTTTGTCTCTTTCCATCCAAGCCGCCTCAAAGCTCTTTCAAGTGCCACTTGTCCCATGAGGAATGTGATAGTAAAATTACGTTTATACCAATCTCTACATTCCAACATGAAAAAAGCAACCAGCCCAAAAAGAAAACAGAAGAGACAGATACACAATTACATTAAGGATCTTTAAACACTGATACATGACAATTTACTAATGTTGTACCTTTCTCTTTTCTGGCAGCCTTGTTTCTCCTGTCTGATTAGAACTTGCCTCTGAAAATGTGTATTTCCTGCTATTAAGTACTAAGTCACACGTGTAATTAGCCTGTGGAATGCATGGCTGCAAGCAATCAGAGGTTAATGTTGTAATGGAGTTAAAAAGGGGTTGAATAATCCAATGAACAATTATATTTAATATGCAATCTAAGATAAGAGTAATAAACCTCACATTTCAGAAGGAAGGTGATCATCAAGCAATTGGGGGAAACTTCCTTCACAAACAGCACTGTGCTACTGGTTGTCTGTGTTTCTGCTTGCCTATACATTTGTTGACATGGGTGAATTTGACCACCCTTCAAGGCAGAAAGGAGGCTTTGCTTCGATTCATGTAGTAAATGCGCAGTTTCCAAGTCAGTATATTTATTTAGTCAGGACTATAGCTACCATATTTTCAAAGTTCATGTTACATACTAACTTTTTTTTTAGATGGGCTTTTGAAGCATGGCTTTTAGAACTGAGTCAAGGTCTATGTACAATGACTCATCCCAGTCTTTCATTTCTGGAGAGCTTGTCTCAAATCCTTGCCCTTGTTACAAATTAAAAATAAATGTTGTCATTTCCTTCTTATTCCCAGTGGCTTTGTCCACGTCACAAAACGTTGCACAATTAACAGGATATGTTAAAAAAAGACTTAGAACTGGAATGCCAGAGGGTGTTAAAGATCAGGATTGTGGTCTTTTGGCAGAACTCTGTGGGAAAGCTTATACACACATGCCTGGCACAAGCCAGTGCTATTATCTCTACAATAAGGGCCCAATCTAAGAGAAGGCTCTTAATTAGCCTTAAATTACACACAAAAACATAATATAAAATCAACTTAATTAATAAAGGAATTACTTCCTTCTCCTCTTGTTTCCAGAATTATGCATATAAACTTTTGCCTTTTTTCCTGTTTATTGAAAGCTACCAGTCCTACTTCAGTTTTCAGAATTAGACAGTTTCCAGTATAAATATTCCCAAATACGTATTCATGAACCAGTGTGCAGTCATACTACACTAAATAGCACTGTAGATTTCAAATTTCAACACTATGACAGTCACAAATTTGAATCCATCTGGCAAGGCTGTGAGAGAACATCGAGTTAAACACATAAATACCAGATTTTACAAGCTAGGCTCCTGGAAGCCAGAATACCTACAATGCATGCCATTGTTTCCAAGACTGTATAATTATACTTGTTAATTAAAATGATGTAACTTCAGCAGATGAACTGATGGCAGGGTAATAACAAGCAGGACCCCACCCAGGAACAGATTCTGAATGCTCTTTACCACCAGGTGGATGGATACCAGCCACAGTTCACCCCACTAAACCTTCCCATGGGCAGTTCTGCATGTAGCAGTCTGCCTTTTCAACCTTCAGTTAATATAATGTTTGCTATGTCTGTTACCATCTTGTTATTAAAAATTAATAACATTTTTTTTAATGCCTGTGTTTTGATGATGTTTCTTTGGTTTTTCTGTGACTGATTAACTACAAAGTTTAATGCAATTGTTACTGTAAATACACGGAAAAGTTTCTCTACAAACTTTAATTTTTCATATTACACATTTACAGTAAATTGGTTTCATAGTTGGTAGGGTTGGAAGGGACATGAGCAGATCATCAAGTCCGACCCCCTGCCATGGCAGGAAAGAATGCGGGGGTCAAACAACCCTGGCTAGGTGATTATCTAGCCTCCTTTTGAAGACCCCCAGGGTAGAAGTGAGCACCACTTCCTGTAGTAGTAGATTTAGTTGGACTTCTGACCTGCTTGACTAGGAAAAACAGACAGAGACCAGAAGCACTTATACTGCTTATTTCAGTTACATATTCTGAGATAAGGAATCCTGCATGCCCTGTTTAGTCTTGATATGTTACCCTGTACGCAGATATTTTCTTTAAGTAAACTGCCTGCACGT